CAGGAAGACCACCCTCTACAGAACTGAAAGGCTAGGCCAAGGGTCCCTGGTGGAAGCTGAATGGAATCCAAGCAAATCCTCCTCCAGGTCAACACAAGACTCAGAATCCCACGCTAAGGCCCAGTCTCAGTGAGTACATAAGCCCCCTGTGGTCAAACTCTCGACCTAGGACTCTGGGGCCAGGTGCTTTGGTGGCTGGGCTGGCCAGTGTAGGCTGAACATCTGGGGATGGAAGTAGCGGTGGAGAAGGGCACGCACGTGCGGCCTGGGAAGAGAAACTAGCCCCGAATTATCCTAGGCCCACTGGCTCCTGCCACATCCAAGCACGGTGCCTGCCATGCCCGTGCTCCAAAATACTCAAGATGTTGTCTCCCTGTCTCCTAAATCTGGCTTTGAAAGCTGGAAAGAAATGAAGCTGCCTTTGTTGTCTTTATCACAGGGAGGACACGGCTTAAAACTGGGAGCAGTTACCATGACGATGAACATGCTGGCTTTAAGCACAAAAGCTCCACGTTCTTGAAGCAGTGAGGTTCCAAGGACATCATGGCACCCTGGAGCCAGGACTAAATGAACCCTGATCTGAAAGATGCCCAGCAAATTAACCCTCAGAGTCCAGATTCACTTAAAACCCCCAATCCCACTTCCTCGAGAGGTTTCTGCCAATCCAGCCCCCTTGTGCGCAAAGAAAGCTGTATCTTAGACTCAGAGGAAAAGCAGTGGAAGAGTAGGAGGGAATCCACCCATTCTCCCCTGCAGTGTGGGCTTCTACCGTGACCGCCCGGCTTCATTCCAGGGACTCTGCCCCCTATTCCTGGTCTAAGACAGGCACAGGCATCTGGTATATACCAAGTTTTCCAGGCAGTTTTGAGACACAGCCCGGTTTGTGAACAGTGGGTCCACACATCTATCTGCCCTGGCTGAGGACTGGAAGAGTTTTCTAATCTGTCTCTAACTGTTCAAGCAGCAAAGTGGGCTGGGAAGGACGGCTGTAGATCCTTTGCAAGGTGAGGGGACCTTGGGAGAGGTACTCCAACCTCGGGTCGGGACTGCTCTGGACTCCCAAGCGGAGGGCTCACAGTGTACTTTTCCAATGACTGTCTCATCATCACTACCAGGTCCCCACTCCAGAACTCTACTCCCACACTCTAGGTACCCTCCCCGAGCGGGAGCAGAAACTGAACTCTCAGAGGGCTTAGGGTTCAATAGAAAGAGATCAATTCTGGGTACCTTTAAGAATTCTGCATCCAAGACATCCTCCTCCTCCTGCGCAAGGTCAAAGAAGAGCTTATTGATAATGGTTCTTTTGCCGACCTGGATGGGAGACCAAGAAAGAGCAGGACCGTATAGCTGGGTCACAGGCAAGGAGGACGGGATGTACATGTAGCCGGACATGCAGCTAGGCCTGTGCTCAGGCCTAACCTTTCACAGCATATCCCCTGGAGTCAGACTACCTCTGCAGCCCTGGTTTGGTGGTTTCTGAAGTCACGCCACTGCAGACCCATGGGGTGACCACTCGAAAGACCCCAACTCTAGGGTGCTGGGCATCGAGAAAATGGGGAAAGGCACGGAAGAGGGCCACAGGCATAAGTAGGCCTCCTGAGCCACTTAAAAGCACAAGTGGGGCTCAACCAGCCTCAAACCATGAGGGTGCGAAAGGGTCAAAGATGTTGCTTTGACCATTCTTGCCCCCTGGTGAGGAGAAAATGTCTTCAACTGAAGTGTTTTCACCTCAGTACCCTCACCTGGATTCGGCACTGTGGGCAGGTCCGACTTGGTGCTGTATCAAACCACTGGATTAGGCTGGAATGAGAAGCAGAAAGCAGACTGGTGAGCCCAGGCTTGGCTGGAGACATTCAGGCTGGGCAGGCACCCTGACCATAACAGGGTCTGTCCTGCTCCTCCTTGACCTAATGCCTGCCCCCAGGAGGGCAGCGCCACAGGCAGGCACAGCACAACCCACAAGACCCAATTAGTAAAAGCACTCTGACTACTTGGCCCTTTGGCTTGGTCCTCCCTACACCTGAGTTGCTCTTTTGTGAACATTCTAGGCTTTGATTGGGGGACAACAGCCAGAGCTATATTTTCAAGGGAAGGGTAAACTAGAAATAAAGGCAAGTAGCAGTAAAAGAAAACACAACCGAGCTTTGCATCATCTATCTGGCTAGTCCAACAAAACTTTAAAATAATCTCCCATCGGTAGGCTCTCCCACCCCCAGGGACAAGGGAGAAACAGTCCTTTCTGGAAGATGATACCATCATCAAAGTTTTTTCTAAAAATAATTTTTCAAATACTAGGTACAATGTACAATCAAAGCTAACTGTGCATAATGGAATACTACACAGCAATGAGAATGAATGGGTCTACAACTAAGAACATTATTATGAATGAATCATATAAACATAACTTGGGAAGAGAACAGATACAAGAAAACGTTTATTGTGTATGACTCCATCTACACTAAGGAAAAAGTACGCAGAACTCATCTATGCTGCCGGAAGTTCAGACAGCGGTTATCCTTCTTGTGGGGGAGAGGCAGCTAGTGGGAGTAACTGGAAAGGTGCACAAGGAGGATTCTGGAGAGTTGATGTCTCGTTTCTGGTCTTCTTCAGTTTGTGAAAATTGTGCAAGCCATGTACTTAGTATATGCATATTTTTATATAATATGTTACATTCCAATAAAATGTTTTGTTTTGTTTTGTTTTTTTAAAGTAAACAGTCATGCAGGGGAAAAAGCACTACAGTGCAAACCAGAACGTATCCACGAAGACTTCAGATACAGAATTGTCGGACAGAGACCATTTCTTTTGATAAAGCAATCAAAATCAAGATTGAATATATCAGTAGAGAATTGGAAAATAAAAGGTGGCATAATAGAATTTAATAAGAACCAAACAGAAATTCTAAAACCGAAAAAATGGCCAAAATTAAAAATTCAGTGGATGAATTTAAGAGCAGTTTAGACACATTTCAAGAATTAGTAAACTGAAATATAGGTCGGAGGAAACAATTACAAAGATAAGCGAAACAATTACAAAGATGTGAGAGGGTCTGGCATACATATAATTAGGAGTTTCAGAAGGAGTGTCAGGTCGAATAATGCCCTCCCCCCAAGAAGTCTACATCCTAATTTCTAAAACCTGTGAATAGGTTACCTTATATGACAAGAGTGATTTTGCAGATGTGATTAAGGGTCATCGGATGCGGGATTATCCAGGTGTGCCATGTACTCACAAGGGTCCTTATGAATGAGGCAGGAGTGTCAGAGTTATACAGAGAGACTGAAGCTGTAACACTGCTGGCTTTGAAGATGCAGAGAAGGGTCATGAGCCAAGAAAAGTACAGCCCCACTTATGACCCGTGATTTTAACCCAACAAGACCCATTTTGGACTTTTGACCTCTGGAACTGTAAGATAATATATTTGTGTTGTTTTAAATCACTAAGTTAGTACTAATTTGTTATAGCAGAAATGAGAAACTAATATAGAAAGAAAATACATAATGGAATAGAGGTAACACATAAAGAAATAATTGCTGATAATTTTCCAAAACTAATTAAAGAAATCATTCTACAATTTGAAGAAACTTAATGGATCCCAACCAGGCTAAGTAAAAATAGTAACAAAATGATAGTGACGTGCCTACATAATTGTCAGACAAAATAGACTTTAAGTCAAAAAAACATTACAAGAGACAAAGGATTTCACATATTAATAAAAGGTTCAATCAAATATGAAGGAATAACAGTTATAAATACATATGCACCTAACAAGAGCTCAAAAATATATGAAAGAAAATTGGACAGAATTGAAAGGAGAAATAATTCTATAATAAAAGCTGGAGACATCAATACCCCACACTTTCTTCTTTTTTAAAAATAATTTTTAATTTTTCCACTACAGTTGAATACAATATTATATTAGTTTCACATGTACAATGTAGTAATTAGACATTTATATAACTCATGAAATGATCACCCTGACAAACCTAGTACCCATCTGGCACATTACATTATTACAGTATTATTGTCTAAACTTTCAATGCTATACTTTACATCCCCATGACTATTTTATAACTGCCAATTTGTATTTCTTAATCCCTTCCCCTGTTTCACTATCCCCCTAAACCCCCTCACATCTGGCAACCATCAAAATGTTCTCTGCATCTATGAATGTGTTTGTTTTGTTTGTTCATTTATTTTATTCTTTAGATTCCACATATAAGTGAAATCATATGGTATTTGTCTTTTTTTTTTTTACTTATTTCACTTAGCATAATACCCTCGAGGTCCATCCATGTTGTTGCAGATGGCAAGATTTCATTCTTTTTTATGACTGAGTAATAGTCTATTGTATATATTACTACTTCTTCCTCCATCTATTGTTAGATACTTAGGATGCTTCTATGTCTTAGCTACTGTAAATAATGCTGCAATGAACGTATGGATACATACGTCTTTGTTTTTTTTATGGTGACATTGGTTAATGAAATCCAGTAAGTTTCAGTTGTACACTTTAACAGTAAGGCATATATATGTTTAGTGTGTTCACCTCCCATAGTTAGAGTTCTTTCTGTCAGCACATATTTGACCCCCTTTACCCCATCTACCTCCCACAAACATCTTTTCGAATTAATGTTTTGAGTTTCTTCGGATAAATACCCAGAAGTGGAATTACTGGGTCCTTCTTTGTCATTTTGTTTTAAAGTCTATTTTGAAAGGTATACGTATTGCTATCCCAACTTTTTTGTTTGTTTCCATTTTCATGAAATATCTTTTTCTATCCCTTTACTTTCATTCGGTCTTTTGATCTGAAGTGAGTCTCTTGTAGGAAACATATGTAAGGGTCTTATTTTCTTATTCATTCAGCTAACCGATGTCTTTTGTTAGAGCATTTAATCCATTTACATTTAAAGTAATTGTTAATAGGTATGTAGTTAATGCCATTTTATTACTCATTATTTTTCTTCTTAAAGAGGTCCCTTTAACATTTCTTGTAATACTGGTTTGGTGGTGATGAACTCCTTTAGCTTTTTCTTGTCTGGGAAGCTCTTTATCTGTCTTTCGAGTCTAAAGGATAGTTTTGTTGGTAGAGTAATCTTGGTTGTAGGTCTTTCATTACTTTGAATATTTCGTGCCAATCCCTTCTGGCCTGCAAAGTTTCTGTTGAGAAATCAGCTGACAGTTTTATGGGAGCACCTTTGTAGGTAACTTAACTGCTTTTCTCTTGCTGCTTTTAAGATTCTTTGTCTTCAACCTTTGCATTTTAAATATGATGAGTCTTAGTGTGGGCATCTTTGGGTTTATCTTGTTTGAAACTCTCTGTGCTTCCTAGGCTTTTATGTCTGTTTCCTTTGCTAGGTGAAGGAAGTTTTCCATCATTATTACTTCAAACAGGTTTCTAATGCCTGTTTGGTACCTCTTCTGGTACCTCTATGATGCAAATGTTGGTATGCTTGATGTTGTATCAGAGGCTCCTTAAACTATCTTCATTTTTTTGGATTCTTGGTTCATTTTGCTGTTCTGATTGGGTGTTTTCTGCTACCTTATATTCCAAATCGCTGATTTGATCCCCTGCTTCATCTAATCTACTACTGACAGATACTCTCTAATGTATTATTCACTTCAGTTATTGTAGTCTTCCTTTTTGACTGGCTTTTTTAAGTTTCCTAACTCCATTTTTATGTTTCCTATCCCTTTGTTGAAGTTCTTACTGAGATCACTGCGCATTCTTATAACTAGTGTTTTGAACTCTGTATCTGGTAGATTGCTTGTCTCCATTTTGTTTAGTTCTTTTTCTGAAGTCTTGTTCTTTCATTTGGGACATGTTTCTCTGTCTCCTCATTTTGGCTGCCTCCCTGTGTTTGTTTCTATGTATTAGGTAGAGTAGCTGTGATGTCTCCTGATCTTGGTAGAGTGGCTTTATGTAGTAGGTGTCCTGTGGGACCCAGTGGCATAGTCTCCCTTGTCACCTGAACCGGGTGCTCCGGGTATGTCCCATGTGTGGGTTGTGCCCTGGTGTTGTAGTTGAGCCTTGATTGCTGTTGACATGTCAATGGGAGAGGCTGACCTTCAGGCCGATTGGTTGTGAGGACTGGCCATGACTACAGTATAGGAGCTGCTATGCAGGGGCCGACCCTATGGAGCAGGATTGGCTGTAGTAGGGCTCTGGTGCCTGCCAAGTCTTCTCCTTAGGGGTGGTTTGTGGAGGTGGTTGGATGGTGCTCTGGTGTGATCTGAAGCTGGCTACCAGGTGTGTTGGTTATGGGACCTTTTGGGAGGGGCTCTGGTGCAGGCCAAGGTTAGCCTCTGCCTGTGCCCTGCTCAGGGCCACTTGATATGAGCTAAAAAAGTGATCTTCAGATGGCTGCTACCTGTGCTGGGCTTGGAGGTGCCTAGGAGAGGCTAAGCTATGAACTGAGGCTGGCCGCTACTAATGCTGGGATTGGGGCCACTTAGCAAGATATATGGGACGCACAGGGGCCAGATGTTGCTTGTTTGTAGTTTGTCAACCTTTGAGAGATTTAAGTAAAGTCCACAGCATGAGCCAAGACAGGCCGTTTATATGAAAAACAAAAAACCAAAAAATACTAGAAGCAGCTTGAGTGAGCCTGCAAGTTCACTCAAGTTAGGGCAGGTCTCAGGGAATCACCAACGGTGTAAGCTAGGTTGATGGAGACTCAGATACGGTGCCCACCTGTGCGTGCAGGCAGGGTGTGGGGAGGGCTCAACAAAGGAACAATGACTTCTGTCAGCACTTCTGTCTGGGAGAAAGCTGCCCCTCCAGCCCTCTCCCTGAAGCCAGACAATTCAGTTCCTCCTCATATGTCTCTGGTGCCTTTCGAGCTGCTGCCCAGCGCCGGAGCCCAGAGCAAGTGAGTCTATCAGTGAGTAAATCCATATACAGGCCCTTTAAGGGGAATGCCTGGGACTCCAGTCGCCCTCTGTCTCACCCAGCCACAATCTTCACTGGTTTTCACAGCCAGAAATTATAAGGACTTCTATCCCTGGCACTGGAACCCTGGGCTGGGGAGCCTGGTGTGGGACTGGGATCACTCATTCCTTAGTGGGGACCTCAGTAGCTGCAATATCCTTACTGACCAGACTGTTCCACATCTCCACCCACTCCTACCATCCCGGAAGTAGTTCTTCTGTATGTCCTTAGTTATAGACTTTTGTTCAGCTAGACTTCGGGTGATTCTTAATCATGGTTGTTCTGTAGTTTAGTTGTAATTTTAATGTGGTCATAGAAGGAGGTGAGCACAGTTTACTTACTCTGCCATCTTGACTGGAAGCTCAATGCCCCACACTTTCAATAATAGATATAACTATTAGACAGATGACCAATAGGAAAAGAGGACTTGAACAACGCTATAAACCAACTAGCTTTAACAGACGTATACTCCACCCAGTAGCAGAATACAGATTTTTCTTAAGTGCATATGGGATATTCTCCAAGACAGAACATATGTTGGGCCGCAAAACAAGTCTTAATAAATTTTAAAAGACTGAAATCATATCTTTTCTGATCACAATGGAATGAAACTAAAAACTGGTCACAGAGGAAAAGTGGAAAATTTACGAATGAGGAAATTAAAGAATACGCTTTTAAACGATCAGTGGGTAAACAAGAAATCACAAGAGAATTTAGAAAATACCTTAAGATGAATGAAAATGAAAGTACAACATACCACTTCTTATGAAATACAGCAAAAGCAGTGCTAAGAGGTAAAATGATAGCTATAAACACAAATTAAAAAAGGAGACATCCATTGGGATGGCTGTTATAAAAAACAAAACAAAAACAGAAAACAAGTGTTGGCAAGGATGTGGAGAAACTGGAACACTTACTTGTGCATTGCTGGTAAAAATGTAAAATGGTGCAGTCAATGTGGAAAACAGCAAGGCAGTTTCTCAAAAAATTAAACATAGAATTACCATATGACCCAGCAATTCCACTTCTAGGTATAACCAAAAAGAAATGAAAGCAGGGACTCAAACAGATACTTGTACACCAATATTTACAGTAGCATTACTCATAGTAGCCAAAACATAGAAACCAAGGTCCATTCATAGATGAAAGGATAAAAAAAAAAGTGATATTTCCTCTCGATTGAATATTATTTAGTTCATAAAAAGGAATGAAATTCTGACATATGTTACGATAGGAATGAAACCTGAAAACATTAAGTTTAGTGAAATAGAATTTGTTCAAGAGAACAAATATTGTACGATTCCACTTATAGGAGGTACCTAGAATTAGAAAATTCAAGGAGACAGAAGGTAAAATAGAGGTTTCCAAGGGCTGTAGGGAGGGGAGAATGGAGAGTTATTATTTAATGGGTACAGTGTTTCTGTCTGAAATGATGGAAAAGTTCTGGAAACAGACAGTGGTGATGGTTACACAATAGTATTAACGTATGCAATGCCAATGAATTATACACTTAAAAATGGTTAAAATGGAAGGCATCTTTGAGCTCGCCGAGCAAAGCTCACCTTCCCAAATTAAAATAAATTTATGGACAAAAATTTATCATTGAAATTAAATGGCAGCAGACATGCTCAAGGAATATCTCAGGAATTTCATCTCTTTATGAATCTTATGATAGATAATGGCAACCAGCGGGCAACAGAATATTGAAATGGTGGCAAAAGGAGGAAATACTATTATGTAAGAAGTCTCGGAAAGAGTATAAACGATGGCTGTTTATAAATCAATTGCTTCCACATATCTCCTTTCCGAAGCGTCTATTTTAAAATTGGGTCGTGCACTTTTTCATATGAAACTATTTTGTTAGATAAACTTTGTAAAAGTCCAAAAAAAGATGTTAAAATAGTAAACTCTGTTATATATATTTTTTTACTACAATAAAAAAAATGTATATAGTAAAAAAAAAAGAAAAAATGGTTTAAGTGGCAAATTTTCTGCTCTGTAAATTTTACCCCAACAAATAAAGGAGTAAAGGAGCTCTAATTCAGCCTGTTCACAGCTGCCACAGGAATCTTTTCCCACCAGCTGGACTCAATAGAAGTGTTCTCTACAGGGTCGGCAGGACGGCCTGAAAAGGGAGCATCTCCTTGCCCTTTGATGTTAATTTGAGTTTGCTGACGTCACCGAATACACTGCGGTGTCTGACCAAAGAGATGAATCTGAGTAGAATCATTCCAAACAATCAAGCAAACCACAACAAATCGAGTAGCCAAACGCCTACCAGTTTTCTACCTCAAAGGAATAAAAGGGCTCGTCATTTTGGTGAAAGCTCACCTCTGCCCGTCACATCTCTTTGCAAGCCGCTCAAAGAAGCCCTTACTCTGTCTTCACGGAACCAACCTTGTTCCCTCAGACGCAGTTCCCTCAGATGTCACCTCCTCCGGAAAGCCTGCCTTGACCCGCCTCTGCCTAGGTTGGGAACTCCCGCAGGGCTCTGTCTAGTGACCCGTTCTAATCACCTGTCTGGACTCCAGGGACAGGTCGCCCGGAAGTCCGACACTTCACAGTCCTGCAGCCGTACCGGGGAAAGTGCCCGGCCCGGAATCAGCGGTCACTCACCACTGAAAGTGGAATGTGTGGCCGCAGTGGATGGCGGCCACGTCGCGCGAGTGGTCGAAGAAGTCGGAGCAGATGGTGCACAGCGCACGGATAGGCATGATGACTGGACTCTAGGGGCCCAGGTCGCCAAGGAAACCGCGACTAATCCAGCTTCGTGGCTGCCCCCGACTTCCCGCCTCTGAACGCTTCAAAATTGGCTCCACTGAGCGACTTCCGTGATACGGCCGGAAGTGGTTACACGAAACGTGGAGGCGGAACCTGAAGGTCGGGTCCGGATTGGACGAACTTTCAGGGGCGGGACTTAACGAGCCTACGGCCAAAGAGAAGCCTGGGGCGGCTTCCGGGAGGGCATCTGGTACCGCAAGAGCGCAGCGAGGGGTCGAGACCCCGAGCAGCTACGGTGCCCGCCGGACCGCTTTCTGGGGCAAGGTAGTTCGTTATGTTCCCAAACCAGAGCTGACGCGAGGCACGCCCGGCACGGGCTCCTCAGCCCTGTTTTCTCAAAGCAGCTTCTGCACTTCGGGAGAGGCAAGACCGCGGCAGCAGGGGAATGGGACGAAGATCCCAATGGAAGTGGGTTCCCTGCGATCTGGGCAATGCTGGGCCATACGCTGGAAGCCTACAGTTCCTACAGACCGAAAGAATGCTCCACCCTACCAGCCCTCGACTCTCAAGTGATCTCTGAAAGACGGGCATAGGACCTAATCCCTCGGAACGCCCCAAGCTCTCACCCTGGCTTCATCCTTAAGTTCGGAGGTGGCAGGGCCGTTACCCTGACTTTAGCTCTTCCAGGAGGATCAGTCACGCTTCCGGACTATAGCAGAGTTGGAATTTTGGAAGCCCCGATGTGTCATGGACCAGTGACTAACAAACCCTTTTTCTTATTCCCACATCAGAGAAGTTATCTTTGGGGTCTTCCCGGAAAAAGAGCAGCATCCCTGGTGAGTTCATCTGGGCACATGAGAGCTGGAACAAATCTTCCTAGGAGTTTTCACACCTATTTTTTGCAGTGTTACGCCCCTCTCCCCAAAAGAAACCTTATGCAGAACCCCATAATATAAAGCTGATTCGTTCCACCTAGAGTAGACCCAGAGTGAATGTTTTGGGCCTATGTGGAAAGCACAGGTGTCGTTCCTAGGAAGGAAGAATCAACACACAGGGAAACATAAAACTTTTGTGTGATGCCCACCCTACACCTTCTCCCAACCCAGGGAAGCCCACTTTGGCCATAGACAAAGTCTCTCCCTATGGTGGCTGGTCCTTGGTGGGTTCTAGTTCTGTGCCTAAGACCAGGGCTCCTTGTTAAACAGTGCTTGACAGGATGGCAGCCCAGAGGTTATTCCCTGGCACAAGTCCAGCACAGGACTCACAACCCACATGGATTACTAGAGCCCAGAGGGCCCTGTCACCACCACCAAAGAACACACTGTCGTGAGGATGATCTGTATTCTCAGCCCAAGCAAGCCACCTGGCACTGAGCACAGGCCACTGTGAACCTGCTCCCAGCCTCTTCCCTCCCCACTGCCTTCCAGGGGTCCCTCCCCAGTAAGACAGAGGAAGCAAAGGCAAGAGGGTAGCCAGAGGCTTTGGCAGGGTGACATTTATTTGCCAGGTTCAGCCGGCACACATGTAGCCCACTGACCTTCATACACCAGAACAGACCCATAGGCATGCAGGGAGAAGGGCAGGACTGCCACCAGAGTGCCGAGTGAGGGCTCTAACCAGTGTTGGCCGCCTACCCAGGATGTGGTGGGGTCTGACAAAGGGTACCTGCCAAGAGCTTCCATCAGGAAACTGGGGAGCCTTATTCCACTTCCTCATCCCGGCACAAGCAACTGAGCATGGCTCAGTGGCACCTGAGCCTCTAAGCCCCAATAGAAGGAGAAGTGGGTCATAGACATAAAAGGGGGTTCCTCTCTGATTCGTTGTTGTGAGAGAGAGAAAAGGGCAAACCCACAAATCAGACTGTGTGACATGGCCATGCAGCAGTCCCCCTGGGATGGAGGAGACTGTGGGCTGATCCTGAGGGGGCCATCTGGGAAGAGCTGGGGATAGCAGCCCCCGTTTGGCCCAGGGTAAGGACCCAGCTGGGTTGGTGCACTAGGTGCTAGGCCTGCACTATGCCCTCCCAGTTCTCATTGCCACATCCTAAGTGCCCCTCCTTCCCCATACAGGTTCATGGACTCAGGGCACAGGGCAACATACTGTAGGACCCAGGAGGGCAGGAAATAGCACAAGGGTCTTGGAAAGGGCTTTCTGGGGACAAAGATGGAAGTTTCTACCCTCCTCATTCTTTTTCACTTCTGAGGATCCCCACAGCTACCAAGCAGTGCCCCCAGCCATGCACCCAGCCTTGTCTTAAAGCATAGTGCCCTAGATTTTTGCATTCTCGATACCGGCCTGTGTCCACTCCTAGAGCAGCCCACATACCACAGGCACATACCTTAATGTGTAGGAGCCTAAGACCGCTGACAGGGCCTCGCTGGAGGACCAGCTCTCAGGGCAAGGCCACCCAAGTTTAGGGCCTGGGAGAGGATGAGACCTGCAGGGCCCGCCTGGGGGTGTGAGGCAAAAAGGAAAGGGAAAGGGGAGCAGGGACCTCCTGAGTATCCCTAGAGCAGCATCCCACGAAGAACAAAAACTGGTGAAGCTAGCGAAAGACAGAAAAGCCACGAGGAATCCATGCAGGGTCTGGGGCCGGTCCTGCCTCTGGCCTGCCCACCACTCACACACATACACACAGGAGATGAGACTGCTCTCCCGTGGCCCCCAGACATGCCCCACTTCGGGAGGCAGGGGCTGGGGGTGGGGAGCGAGGGCATCATGCCATTGACTCTATGTACAGTGAAAAGCCCCTCATCCACTCTCCCACCCTCCTGCCCGTCCCCGCCCCCCACCAGCCTGCCCACTCAGCTGGTCTCCTCCCTCCGAGACTCCTGGGCAGAGCCAGCAGCCTCTTCCCCTTTACTAGATGGTGGAGCCTGGCCTGTTGCGCCCCCTGGGGCTATGCTGTCCGGCTGGGCCAAAGCCAGCTCAGGGGTGGCAGCTGCCTTGGTGGCCGGTGTGGCACTGCTTTGGGTGGTGGGCACAGTGCTCTCTTCTGTGGCTGGTGTGGCTCTCCCATCAGTGGCTGGAGTAGCACTCCTGTCAGTGGCTGGGGTGACACTCCCATCGGTGGCTGGGGTGATGCTCCCATCGGTGGCTGGGGTGACACTTCCGTCAGTGGCTGGGGTGGTACTGCCATCTGTGGCTGGGGTGGTACTGCTGTCTGCAGGGGCTGCATTATCATGCTTTGCAGCAAGAGCAGCATCACCTGCTGTGGCTGAGGTGGCACTGCCCCCAAGGGCTGGGGCAGCTCCACTCGCAGCTGTGGCCCCACCTGCAGCCCCGGGAGTGGCAGTGTCTGTGGCTGGGGCAGACTGAGCTGCAGCCGTGCCGGACTGCTCTGGTGCCCGGAGCCGTTTCATGAGGGTGGTCACTCGGACAGCTTTCTGAAAGGAGGATAGCGAGAGAGGCTCGGAGTGGGCTTATGGAAGCTGGATCCATTCCTTGGCGAAGGCCAAACTCAGACCATCCCATGGTGCCCTGATTACCCCAGGGCTAGGGACTCAGATGCTCAGCACACTCACTTAAAATAGTAGCTTATGCCATATAGTGGGTGGAGCAAAGCCTGTGTGTGATGCAGGCAAGAGACTGGGGGTGCCAAAAGGAGCACTTGGGATCAGTCCAGGAAAGAGAGCCATCCAAGCCTTACCTTCCACTTAGCCCTGGCAAAGTTCTTTTCAATCTGGGCACAGACACCATCTTTGATGTTCTTATCAGAAGCAGCATTGCCAGAAATCCTGGAAAGGGTACAAATGTGTCTGGATCCGAGGGGGATAGGCTTTCATGGAGACTCTGCCCAGCCCTTTCCTTGTAAGATCCAGGGATTACCAGGCAGATCCTCTTGGCTGGCTTGAGCTCTGGCTGCCCCCAAAACCCCACCCAAGGCCTCAAGGATAGGGGCTGCTAAGGAACTCCAGCCTCTCCTCCCATCCCCCGGGGCCCTGCTCACCACTCATGGGAGATGGCCTCTTCTGCGGTGATCCGCTGATCTTGCTCCACCTCCATCAGCCTGGTGACCAGGTCTTTGGCTGGGGACAAAGCCAGGGAGAGGCTAGGCATGGCACCCCATCTCACTGTCTAGAGGTGATGGATGGGCTGGGGGGTAGGAGCAGAGTCCAGCAGAGCAGGCTGAGAACAGGTCCCCCACACCAATCCTTCACTCTACCCATATGCTGGGCACCTCCTCACCCGCCTGTGAAATATCATCCCAGTATGGAGAGTCAAACTCATAGTCGCCAGCCAGGATCTTGCGGAAGAGATTCTTGTCATGGTTCTCGTAGTCATCTTCCTCCACCTCTTCATAGAAAGGTGGATTCCCTGAAAGCCTGCATGGAAGCCAAAGGGCAAGGTCAGCCAGGAAGGCCATGGACATAGGCCCCCACCCTACCTTGCTGTAAACCTCTTTGCTTGCCATCCACTCACAAGATGTACATGATGACTCCAATGGCCCAGCAGTCCACAGGGCGTCCATACCGCTGCCGACCTACCACCTCTGGGGCTGCAAACACAGTACCAATTGACTGGTCAATATCAGGCCTAGCCAAGCCTGGTACCATTCACACCCACTTCCCCACTACCCAGAGCCACTCCTTGAGGGCTGTCTCCCCACCCTGCCCCTGCCTCCCCTCTGCTTGCCCAGGTACTCAGGGGTCCCACAGGGTTCCTTGATGAGGCCATTCTCTAGCTTAGCCAGGTGGAAGTCGCTGATGACAATCTTTGAGTTCTTCAGCCGGTTGTAATAAACCAGGTTCTCTAGCTGCTCCAGCCAGGAATGACATATGGGTGGGCAGAGAAAGACTCCATGAAGTGAGGACTTCAGAGGCTAGACCAAGGCCCCAAAGTGCTTCCCACCCCAGCCCCAGGCCAGCTGCCAACAGACCCTTTGACCAGGTTCCTGGCCTCACCTTGAGGTTCCTGTGCACGATCTTGAGTGAGTGCAGGTAGGCCACGGCCTCCAGGACCTGCCGCACCACGTTGCTCGTGTCTCGTTCCGAGTAGTAGCCCTGGTCCAGGATCCAGTCAAACACCTCCCTCCCCGTGGCCCTGAGGGACACCAGCCCCTGAGCCCGGTTGTGGGCGAGATTGGGGGTGGGGCAGGAGCACTTGGGCA